TTTTTATCATGGAGGAGGCAGCGCTCATTTCTGCCTTCAGTCTGACGGCACAGCGCAGCGTGCGCTTGTTGAATCAGTATGTGTGTGTGTGTGTGTGTGTGTGTGTGTGTGTGTGTGTGTGTGTGTGTGTGTGTGTGTGTGTGTGTGTGTGTGTGTGTGTGTGTGTGTGTGTGTGTGTGTGTGTGTGTGTGTGTGTGTGTGTGTGTGTGTGTGTGTGTGTGCGGCACAGCTCCATGAGCCGCTCAAGTCACTGCGTCTCGTTATTGGCGCTATTTAAACCAATGTTGTAAAATTACTTCTGCCCAGCCCAGATGTGCTCACATGTGCACCCATGAGCCGTGGTTCCGCTGGAACGCGTCTGACCTCTGACAGACGCACTCTGAACTTCAGATCTTCAGCGCGCTGTTAATAGCCTGACACGTTTAGAATGCTGTCCCACAGTCAGTGTGCTAATATAATAATATAATAATGCTAAAATGCTCAGATGGGAATCATTTCTTGATTTATTTTGTTACATCCACAATGTTCTGTGTGTGTGAGGTTTACAATGTCAGAACACCTGCATGAGACAGGGTGTTAATTATAATCTGCCAGAATGACTCACCACCTTCAGATTTCTCCAACATCGTTAAAAATGATCAAATATGGAACAAATCTTGCTATTAACAGCGTGCGCAGGTCAGAGTGCTGAAGCTCGGAGTGCATTATTATTATGAAGCAAGGGCACATGCGGAGGACACACACACACACACACACGCAAAATATACTTATTTTCAATTACCTTTATTGGGCCCACTTACTTTTTCTTAGGCCCACCCACAAATGAGTTTCTGGCTACGCTAATGGTGACATATGACAGACTTCTCTGAGCTCCGCAGCCATTACACTTTTCACCTTGCGCACCCCCTAGTGACAGCTCACCACACGTAGGGAATCCCTGAATAGGGCATAAAGAGAAATGTGATTAGTTTTCTATTGTCACATTTCCTATGAGCACACTAAAAATCTGCAGCTACACCTTTAACTATTATTACAGTCATATCTTCATATGCTCATGTCTACAATATTTGATATCCATAAGCATGTGAGGATGTGTTTCAGTTGCTAACAGGCACCAGACATAAAATTAAAAATTAAACAAGTATGAACGCTAAAGCCTAAATTATACTTCTCCATCTGCGTCAGGACGGACGCACGCAACACCGTTATCTGTCCTTGCGGGCCTGCTGGAGAGCTCCGCAAGGACGGACGGAGTCGAGTTCTCTTTTCTAAACATCCATCCGTCGAGACAGAGAATGCAAGCTTGTGATTGGTCAGGGCACCGCTGTCGTCTACACCGCCGCCATTGCGCCCTCAAAAACATAAAGAGAGCCGAGGATAACAAGCGGCAGACACGGAGAAACTTGAAGAATACCTCGCAAAAAAACTCTAAAAATATGAACGTATAGTTCCCCTATGACTGGAGGAGTGAAAGCATACGCAGCAAGCATTTTATTTGTGGACGGGAATGACAGGAAACGTGGGTTTAGAGGTGGCGAGTGCATGAAGAGGTGGAGGAGAATGAGAGACAAATTTGTCCGTGGTAAAAAGTCTCTTACATACAAAAAATCACAATATAAACACACTATCTTGGACCGGATACATGACAGGATACCACAGAACAGCGCTACGCCCTCTGTTGTCCTGGCGGGGAATTGCTTTGCAACACTCCCCAGGAGACGGAGAAGTATGAGGGTAAAATGTCTCCGTCCCTGAGTGTGTGTCTCTCCCTTTTGGAGCTGACAGAGAAGTATAAATTAGGCTTTACTCCACTCCCACCTCCTGTTTGAAAAGTTCAACAAATGCTGTGGCCTGGCAGACCAAGAGGGTGGAGTTGCTAACAAATACACACACACAGGCTCACAACAGCATTGTGACATGCAGGAAGGCAGTAAATGTTGCAACGTTTTTGCTAAACTGAATCGTACAAAGCGATGCTGTAGCTAGCAGCCCATGGTTACTTGATAACTCATAAATGTAAATTCTGGTCAAATAAAAACTTATTTTTAAACTTGTACCTCTGAAGGGTAAAGTTTTAGGTGTTTCATGATTTTATTGTCATTAAAAATTGCATTTTAGAACCACTGAGGCCATGGGCTGCATTTAGGTTTCGCAAGAGCATGAGGGACTGCATGTCACGTTCTGTGTCCTCGTCTCCTGTGTCCCCTCCTTGTTGTGTCATTTACTTTGATTAGGTATTCTTATCCCCCAGCCTTTCAGTGTAGTTTGCTCTAGAACTCTTTAGGTCATTAGTTTATCTTTAATGTCCCCTGTGCCCTTATTTCTATAGTGTTTAGGTTTATTTAGGTTCAGTAACTTTTGTTTTACAGGTTTTAGGTCTGGTTTCCTCCCCTGCTTGGTTCTGCTTCTCTTCTCAGTTTATTAGTCCCACCTGTGCCCATTTCTCTTAATTGCCCAGCTCTGTGTATTTAAGCCTCGGTCTTGTCTTCTGCATTTGTCGGTTCCTTGTCTCCTGTCAGTGTGTTTGTAACCTCCTGAGTTCCAGTTCCTCCATTTACCAGCCTTTGTTTTTTTTTTCCCTCTTGTGAGTAGTTTTGAGTTGTTGTTGGCCCCCCTTGGTTTTGAGCCTTTTGGATTTTGTTTTTGTTTCTTAAAATACTTTGTTTTTTACACCTCATCTCCTCGAGTCAGTCTGGGTTCCTGCACATTGGGTCCACCCAATCCTTTCCTCCTAATATGACACCGCAAAGACAAAACAAGCAAACAACTGTTGGTCATGTGTTATAGTTTGATAAACTGTACATTCATATACATTTACTTTATCTATTTGAGTGTTGTTGACTCTAGAGCAGAAGTGTGTGTGAAGCTAGATGAGGTTGAGAGACAGTTTAACTTAATTCAGTTCCAAAAAGTAAACTCAATTCTAAACCAGTTATAATCCCAAATTAGAAAATCCCATTGGTAACAACTTTAACATTGTTTTATTTTGTATTGACATGTTAGCACATCAAAATACACACATTTTGTCTGTCATTAGGTCCTTACAAAGTGTTTTGTATGAGAATTTTTGGGCACTGGTTCCTTATAAAATTAGAAATGTTCTTCTACCTATAAATATGCTTTTGTGTTATTTTTTATTTCACGCAAACCTTTATTTTGAAAAATGTAAACGGAAACACTACGTTTTTCTTCCGGTACTTGATACGGGCGGCTTCCCAGAGAGAAGCGTCGCTATTTACATCAATATTTTCGGACGGTGCTTCCGAGCGGAGACACTGAGCTAAACCGTCGGTAGGGCATGTTCATAGCTCCACTTTTACACACTTATTATTTCAGTAACTATGCTCGTTAGCCGCAGTCGCGGCTTCTTTTGTGCGCCGTTCGGAGCGGATTTCTGTGACGCTGGCGAGTGATACCCGTGTGCACTGCAGTGGTGCGCAGCTTCGCCTGGAGGAACACCTGTGCGCCTCTCTGACGGCCACAGTCATGAATGCTGAGTAGGTATGGAAGCAAACCACGCACGGATCCGCGTAACCAAACACAGTGATGAAGGTGTGATGATGAGGAGGAGGAGTTGGGTTTGCTTGTTTGTTATATTTATAATGATTTATTTAGAGGGAGGTCTTCCACAGATGCGTTGGTGTTTAGTTGAACGGTGGAAAACTAGAACTCATATGGAAGAGAAACAAAGGAGCGCACGGAGACACGAGACTGTGTGTGTGTGTGTTCTAATTGGCTTCTTAGTCGAGATGTATTATTATAATATAAGCGTGTGTGTGTGTGTGTGTGTGTGTGTGTGTGTGTGTGTGTGTGTGTGTGTGTGTGTGTGTGTGTGTGTGTGTGTGATGGGGGGCGTCTTTACGCCGTCAGACAGGATGTAGGGGAGGATCTACTGGAGCAGGATAACCATAAGCGGTGAGAGCGCATCTTCAGAGTTCTGATCACAGTTGACGCATTGCACTCCTCGCGTTGTGGCTGCTGCCTCCATTAGCATTATATAATCACTCTCATGTAATGCAGCCAGCTTCTGATACCGATACAGTACACACACACTCCCTGAGGGTCCATTTGTGCACCTCCTGCTGAGCAACCTGCCTATTAGAAATGTGGGTGGGTTTCAGCAATGTTTACATAACTCACTGTTTTGTGTGTGTGTGTGTGTGTGTGTGTGTGTGTGTGTGTGTGTGTGTGTGTGTGTGTGTGTAATAGGAAAAGGAGGGATCTGTGTTAAATGTGCAGTAGTGACTCATGGGTTTATTCAGTGCAGTGAAGCTAAAGTCATATCTGTAATCGGTTGCAGTCGTTTTGAGGTCCAGCATGTGTTTATAGTATAAAATAAGGAAATGGGGATGTGCTGCCAGGCTCTGAAGATCAGGATGTGTTTCACAGCCACAGAGAAAGTAGAACCACCCTGTTCGTGTCTGATCTCCTTTTCTCTACTTCTGTCTTTGTTTTTGCACAGAGCAGATAACCCTAGGCGCAGTGTCTGTCTGCATTTGTCTGAGAGAACAAGCAGGGGAGCAGCACAGACATCATGCAAGGAGAACCCTCCCTTAATTGCACAGCGCTGAAATGTTGAGCCTGAAGAACAGGAGTGTCTCATCGCATCAGCAGACTGTTTACATCAGAGGGGGCCAGAAGAACTGCTTCACACCAGACTCCATAACACCTCGTGTGTGTGGTTCGAGGCCCCTTTTCATCACAGTCGAGAAAAGACACATTAACTGATCCATAATTTTTCTGTCGGGTTCAGCGTACCAGCTAGAGATGGAGTGGTCGCTGGAGAACGTGAGAGAGATGGTGGCTGGAGGGATGCAGTCTGTGAGGGAGTGTGAGGTCTGTGCTTTAGCCATAGCCATGTGTGTGCTGCTGCTGTTCATGTGGTACTGTTACAGAGTGGGCCGCGAGCATGGCTCCAGCCCGCTGCGTGGGAGGTACCTGACTGGGTCGGGTCGGATTGGAGGAGTGGTGGGGGGTTTCATGAGTTCGGACTGCCGTGGCAGGGGCAAAGGGAAGCACGGGTCAATGCTGGGGGAGCAGAACGGCTTTGCTTTCTGCCAGTCATCAGAGTGTTTCCGTTGTACCAGCGCTGGGGAGAGTCTGAACCAGAGGCTGTACCACAGCCTTCAGGAATACGCCAAGCGCTACACCTGGTCAGGCATGGGGAGGGTGCACAAGGGTGTCCGAGACCAGGGCCGGTACCTCAACAGCCGACCGACTATCCAGCGGCCAGAGGTGTTCTTCCTCCCCGACCTGTCGTCAGCCCCTTTCTTCTCTAGGGAGGTTCAGAGGCATGATGTGGAGCTGCTCGAGCAGAGCTTCCCTGCCCTTCTGGCTGAGTTTGAGAGCATCTACCACCAGCCTCCAGCGCGCAGTGGCTCCTCCCTCCCACCAGGGTGGAAAGCCAACAACACTCCTCGTGGGCAGTGGTGGACCTACTACCTGGTCAACCAAGGCACGCCTTTGGTTTTAAATGTCCGGAGATGTCCACGGGCCTGGCGGGTTCTGGGCCAGCTGCGCACCTTCATCGCCAACAACATTTTTGGGAATGCCTGCTTCTCCGTGCTGACCCCCGGAGCTCTCATTACTGAGCATTACGGTCCAACAAATGTCAGGCTGCGCTGCCACCTGGGTAAGAGAGCCAAGTGAAAATGATCATGCTCATTTCGTGTTTAACTCACAGCAGCATATGATGTCACAAATAGGCACATGTAGACACAAATCCAGCGTTGTGTTGTTTTTGTCTAAAATCTTCTGAGTAATGGACCCTGCAATGCTCTTCCATACATGCAAATGGTTCTTGTTTTCTCTGCACCTGAGCTTTGATTCTGTTTCCATTTATTTTCTGTTAAGTGACTAAAAATAGTCATGTTTGCTATGAAGATCTGGCCTTCAGTACGATCCCTTAAAAACAGTAGACTGTCAGGATACAGGACAACTATAAATGGAACTGAGCAGCACTGCATTTTTCTCTTAACCGCAATCTTGATAGACTTTGGACTTGTTATGTTTATGTGTTAGGTCTCCGAGTGCCTCCTTCCTGTGAGCTTGTAGTTGGTGGAGAGCCACAGTGCTGGTCTGAGGGCAGCTGTCTGCTTTTTGATGACTCCTTTCTCCACAGGGCTTTCCATGATGGTAAGAACGCATTTAAACATATTGTTTTTTTATTTGAGTGATTACCAGCTGTACTAATTACTTTGAAGTGTGACAAAGCCCAAAATATGATGTGAGATGTATTTCTCTGTATGAGCAAAGAAACGCAATACCCACTTATGTAAATGAATTCGATTGACTTCATACTTCAGAAACGTCTTCATTACTGATGCACACTCATCTTGATCAGTGACTATCACTGATCTCCATTTATCGGGATTGAAGCTGGGGTTTGTAGTTTAAATATGTTAAAGTTGCTTAAAATGCTTAAATTTGACTGTCTGACCCGGTTCTATGCTACAAAGAAGGTTGTCTTTCATAATTTATGTTTCCCTTAAAGGTTTCATATACTATTTTAAACCTTTGAGAGCAAAGGTAGGCACAGTATATGATCAAATGTTACCACCCACACCCACTCTGACTAAACGTGCCTACAACAGCGCCTTAGGTGAGCCAGTTGCTGTATTGGCTATGGTCCAGTGGTTAAGGCGCCTTCCTGCCTTCTCATTTTTATCATGTGCTGATGTGGGTGGTGTCTACAGTAATATATTCAGCCGGCTGAAGCAAATTTCATGTTTTTATAGGTTAGTTTTAATGATTATTTTCCACAAAATATTTTGTCTCTAAAGATCTTTGAATTTTGGTCATTTCCAAGCAGCATTTTAGTTTATTTTCTCAGCTCACACAGGCTAAATAAAGTTTCAAATATAAACTGATTAGTCCTTATATTTTAAGCAGGTTACCAATAAAGGATTGAAAACATAATACTGGCAAGTGCAGCTAAACAGAAGAAAACAAGTTGCTGCTCGGACCGGTATGCAAAACTACATGCCAGCCCCACACCGGACACCTGTCGCCTAAGCCGCATATCCAGTGCTGACCAGAGGAGACAGGTTTCAGAGCAGAGACTAGCTTCTAGGAGAGGAGAGGAACAGGACCTGATGGCGAGACTAGTTTCCATTGACTCGTTATCAGATTTTCTAAGTAAAACTCAAAATTTGCAGCTGAAACAGCCAAAAATGCATGAATGCAGCCAAAAATGGGGTTGGGTGTTTTCATGAGGAAATAACAATATCACATGCTAAAAGGTTCCAAAAAGTGGATTTTCCATGATATGGCCCCTTTAAGTCCCTCCCCTGCCTCTTCAAAACGAATTATGTACGTGAGCCTAGAGCAGTGGTTCCCAAACTTATTTAGCCACGCACCCCCTTCTATGTCCCGACCATGTCGACGCACCCCCCAGCCCCCACATCAGGGCATGGCTATATATATATATGTATATATATATATATATATATATATATATATATACATATACATATATATATATATATATATACATATACATATATATATATATAGATCAGACGTCAAGCTAAACAGACAGGGTTAAAAAAATATGATCAACCTTTTTCCCCATCGCTTTCATTTTTTAAATGGTAATTAATAAACATTCGATACCATTACAATTTCCTTTGATTTAATTTTAAATAAATATTTAGAGTGCCCAGGTAGCACATAAACAATGCAATTTAACGGTTTTCTTAAAGTAGGAACGTTTAACCTGTGCGGCCAGAGCGCTCTCCTTCCTTCTGCTCTGCGTAAACCTGAACTGGCCACCTACTTGTGCGTAATCAAATGTCTATAGGGGAAAATATGGAAACGATATAGCCATGAGGTTCAATTTTGCCTCAGACCGACTTATTGCTGTTTTATGGTGTGGCTGAATCTGCGATCCGCTGCCATGCGGACTGGAATAACAAATGCTGCAGTAACATGAGTTGTTGTCAGGTTCGGAGTCACTGGCTGGAGCGGACCCAACTTTAATACGTCATCCCAAAATAGAAGCTAATATCTTATCCTGGAATGAAAAATGTTGTTATAAAACCTCTTAAAAGTTTTTATCACAGAGGAGGCAGCGCTCATCTCTGCATTCAGTCTGACGGCACAGCGCCGGAGTTCGTGTGTGTGTGTGTGTGTGTGTGTGTGTGTGTGTGTGTGTGTGTGTGTGTGCGTGTGCGTGTGCGTGTGTGCGCGCGCGGCACAGCTCCATGAGCCGCTCCAGTCACCGCGTCTCGTTATCGGCGCTATTTAAACCAATGTTGTAAGATTACTTCTGCCCAGCCCAGATGTGCTCACATGTGCACCCATGAGCCGTGGTTCCGCTGGAACGCGTCTGACTGACAGATGCGCTCTGAACTTCAGATCTTCAGTGCGCTGTTAAAAGAATCATTTCTTGATTTATTTTGTTACATCCACAATGTTCTGTGTGTGAGGTTTACAATGTCAGAGCACCTGCATGAGACAGGGTGTTAATTACAATCTGCCAGAATGACTCACCACCTTCAGATTTCTCCAACATCGTTAAAAATGATCAAATATGGAACATATCGGCGTGTGCAAGCCAGAGTGCTGAAGCTCGGCGCATTGTTATTATGAAGCTTGGGCACATGTGGAAGACACACACACGCGCAAAATATACTTGTTTTCAATTGCATTTATTGGGCCCACTTACTTTTTCTTAGGCCCACCCACAAATGAGTTTCTGGCAACGCTAATGGTGACATTTGACAGACTTCTCTGAGCTCGGCAGCCATTACACTTTTCACCTCGCGCACCCCCTAGCAGCAGCTCACGCACCCCCAGGGGTGCGTGCACCACACTTTGGGAATCCCTGGCCTAGAGCATTGACTGATAAAATAGCATATCCACAAGAGGGAGCTGTCACTCAATGAGAAGGCACTCCACTACCCAACATGCACTACGGTGTGTAGCAGATGTGCCTCAATCAACATAGCACACCAACCTAGCTTCAATGCTAGCTCGACCTGCGACCTTCGGTAATGTCAGTCTGTAAACTTCAAGTGGTGGAAGGGGAAGGAGGAGAACAAAAAGGGATTTTTCTTTTGTGTTTTGGAGCTAAGTGATTAGCTTAGCATTCAGCCTTACGCTACATTGGACTATTGTTTTAGCCTGTTGTAGCATTAGCAAGATTGTAAATGCCAGATTCCTGCCAGCTTTCAGATGTTTCGCTTGAACAGTGCAGATTTTATTAAACTTACTGTTTCACAGCTCCTGCAGAACCCGATGAAGGCTGAGTAGATAATTCAGCTGTTGGAATCAGGTGTGTCTGAGCAGGAGCATATCAAAAACATGCAGCCACACAGCAGCATTCAACTAGCACTACACTGTATGTCTGCACATGCTCGGTATGAGGTGTGTCTTTCAGCTCTTTCCAAAAGAGGACCAGGGATGGAAGCTATAGATGTTACATTTCTAAATCCTCTCCTCCTTGATGAACTCATGCCACCAACCACTAGCCTAGAAATCTAGACCGACCGTAGCAGGAGCTAAAGGATTTTGCTCTGCAGGTGGATCTAGCCATGCTCCATTGGAGCCTCAGCTGGCCCGAACAGCCTTGTGTCTTGCCAATAACAGCGCTCTATTGGTTTGGTGGGCGGGATGTTGTGACTGAGCATAACAACAAAGATGGCGGCGGCTCATTTGGAACGACTTTGACACCAACTTTGGACTATTTTGAATCGGGTTTTCTGTGAGTCAAGAGCATATAGAAGTTCTTAAGTCCTTTATTGGAAAAAGGGATGTATTTGCGTCATCTTTAACAGTATATGGCAGATTGCCTTGTTTACTGACATCTGTTGTGGCAAGTACATTGCGTTGTTCGTTGTCCAATAGCACGTGGAGACAGTTTTAAAGACAACTGTAGATTCACCCCACGACTGAGATCTGTTTATGGGTCGTGGTCAGACTATATATTCACATAAATACTTGCCAGGCTAGTGGACCACTGATTTAAAGCATCATTGTCGAGCTGTAATATGATAAATATTAAATGGTCTGTGTTTTTATGGCACCTTCTAGGGTTATACAACCCCCCCACCACCCCCACCCCACCCCGCCAAGGCATTTTACAACACAATCAGTCATGCACACACACACACACATTCACACGCTGGTGATGATGAACTACTATGTAGCCACAGCTGCCCTGGACCACACTGATGGAGGCGAGTCCGCAGAACATTAGTGCCACCAGTACCTCCGACCACCACCAGCAGGCAAGGCAGGTTAAGTGCCTTGCCCAAGGACACAACAGCAACTTTCTCTGCCAGGAGCTGGGATCGATCCAACAACCCTCCGATTACTGGACAGCCACTCTGCCTCCTGAGCTACGGCTGCCCGTAATATTAAAAAAAACAATGTTTTCCACAGTCCGTGAACTCACCATTTTTAAATAGAACACAAATAAACATTGAGGAAAATAATAAATAAAGCTGCATGCAGCTGCGAACAGTTCTCTCACCTTGAATGTAATATTTTTTGCTACGTGTGTGTGCAGGCAGCGCAGAGGACGGCCCAAGGGTCGTCTTCATGGTGGACCTGTGGCACCCTAACGTGGCCGCCGCTGAGAGACAAGCCTTGGACTACATTTTCACACCAGGTCGCTTGGAGGACAGGGAAGGAAAATAGGTGTGAGTGAGAAACCATGTCTGAATAGGAGACGGATGGCTTTTAGACGTGTGCGTCTGTAATGTTGGGGAGCAACTCTTTTTCTGCCTCTAGACCAGCTTCCTTGTTCACTGTGTGCACACTCTCCAGCTCACAGTGTTGATTGTAATTATTGTTCTTGGCAGACGACCAAACCTTGGGCCTCTTTTATCAATCTATTTCTGTTGTAAACTCTTTGCTGCTAGTGCAGACCAGCCTGGCTTTCTTGGAATTCTACAAGAATTTCCTTTTTATTTATTTTGACTAAACAATCACTAGATTATTTTTTTCCTAACTGGGAGCTAGGGTCACACTGACTTTGTTTAGGTTGTTGCTTAAAGCAGCTCAGCAGTTCAAGGACAGAGCAAAGTTCAAAACACAAACCAGACGAATGGCTCTTAAATAATATGTAACCGTTTGGTTTGTTAATTGCAGCATATTAAGTCCTCAGTCCACCTTATGCTGTTAGTTCTTAACCAATCTGGGTCACTGATCAACCTTCTTCCCTGACTATACCTGCATACATTTCTGCAAGGGCTAAAGAAAAGATCGTTCACTTATTTTCTATAACTTAACTCATCCAGTTGAATTTGGGATCTAATTGTCAGGAAGACCACCACGTTTTCATTAAATAACAGGTCTTTAGTAAATTTCAAATGTTTACATGTTTATGAATGACTCCTACATAAAGAATGTTCATCTCACTGATTGTATTACCAGTTATGATTTTATAAAATCTCAATGTAATAACCACCACAGCTTAATTTTTCACAATCTAAAAAGCACTTCAGACCAAAAAAACAAGAGTCAGTGTAGAAACATTCAGGTCACGATGTTTATAAATCTGGACCAAACTGGTCATTTTTAACATGCAGACCCCAACTAAAGGCTTCAGAGTGTTTATAACTAGATTTGTTTATGTTTGCTTTGATAATTGAGGTCCAATGTGAATGAGGATTTAAATGTTTACAGGTCCCGTCTACGTCTCGCTGGTGGATTGTGCTCCGTCAGAAAATCTGTCAGGCTTTCACAAGACATGGTTCAATAAGCACATTTCCAGTTAGGGTTTTATAAGTCGGCCAGTGCTGTGATGCGAACAATTAGCAGTTTTTGGTGAAGTTACTGAACTCTGTTAATTTAGTTGCATTTGATATCAGGTTTGTATTTCTGTAAATAAGGCTGAATGAACACTGGGTACAAAAACCCACTTTGAATGGTACGAAATGTTCTGAAATGATCGTCTTGCTTTAACTATGGTGTTGTCTTGAGTTTTAGCTGAAGTGATTACGAGTCATTCTCTGATTCAAGGAGCCAACCATTTTTGATAGATTGGATTAGTATGTTCTGTAAAATCTTTCTGATGTGCTACTCTCTTTGTTGTTCTGTGATGTTTTTATTTATTCCCCCATCCCCTCTCACTGTAATTTTGCAGCACAGCGTGGTTCTCCATTCAAACAGCCACAGTCTTTACTTGTTCAACTGCAATTCCAGAATAAACGTGCGCAGTCTAAAGGGATGTGAAATAAAACCTCTGCTTTCCTTGTCCGCTGCAGTTCCAGAGACCCATCTGTTCTGTTCTAATGTTTACAAAGGTGTGCTCATTTACACACTGTTTACAGCACCTGATCTCTGACACACACACATTTAGCTGTGCGTAATTGGGTTTAAAATAGAGTCTACTAACTCTGGTTTCAACACACACACACACACACACACACAGTATGATGGGCAACCATTCTGTTTACATTTGAATTAGAGATTTATCCTTAAACACTTTCTTGTGTGGATTTTGAACAGTATTTATGTACATTTAATAAATGGTCCAGTATCTTATTTAACCTGCTGGTGTTCGACTTTTTATTTGGCAAGAGTCTTTGGATCTAGACCACTTTGCTGTAATAGTTTTTTGAAGAATAAAGTAGTCAACAGCTCCATAGCACACATGCAACAGTGGTATTGTAGATGAATAATTGAGTGGTTTTTCTGTGGGAGGGTGCAAAAGGGAAAATGATATTAAGTGGTTTCATCATCCAGAGGCTGTTTACTTGCAGCAACACAGGCAGGCATTTATGTTGGAGCCAGGAATGCAGCTGAAACATCTTAATGCCATATAAACATGCATTTTGTTGAATTTGTTAAGATTTAGTTGTACAAGGAAATCTTTCTGTATTGAAGATCAATTCTAAAAGCTGGTCTGTTTCTACACAGGAGGCTGTTTTCAAATGATGACTTATTTTTAATTAGGGGAAGAAATATCCAAACCAACCATGAGAGAGCAGTTGTCTGCTTAAATCATGATGTAACTGAATAATCGCATTATTTAAAATACTAATTCAGTGGACCTGGTTACTGCTTGACTGGTAAAATGAACAAATCACTCAAATACTACCTGCTGACAACCTGAAGTAAGCGATAAGAGTTGAGGTTAAGGGCATGGTTCGGGTTAAGGTCAGAGGTCACGATTCAATAATAAAGAAATAAGGAAGAAGTCTAAAAACAATGCAAAGGTTCATCTTAAATTTATCAAAGTATCTTGATGATCCCTTTAGGCTTTTGGGAAAATGTTCATCTGGAGTAACTGCATTCAAGGCCGTATCCAGAGTTTCAAATTATAGAGGTCCACCATCCGTTGTCCCATGCAAATTGAGAACAAACTGAAGACCAATGCTGATTTCAGATGTAATAATTTATTTAAAACTAAAGTGGTGTGTGTGTGTGTGTGTGTGTGTGTGTGTGTGTGTGTGTGTGTGTGTGTGTGTGTGTGTGTGTGTGTGTGTGTGAACTCCCAAGTAAATCCATGAAAAGTGGCATATCTGAAGCATTGGGAACCTGGGCTTAACCATGAAAACTCACATGAAATTATATAGTGAATAAAGTACTTATTTACCAGCTGGTTTTTACTTCAACATTTCAAAATGCCAATGAAATTCAGTTTTTATGCAAATGCGTCATTTCCTTCTGTCTCACTTCTGCTGTCCTCACCTGTGTCACCTGAAAAGTTGCATCTACCTTCCTTCATCTTAATGTCTGAATTGATTTTAGATTTGATCGACTGAAATATCCATGTAAAAGAACACAAATATAAATAAAACCTGTTTTATCATATTTCTGGAGGGTATTAATGTTGCATTACTGCAATGGGCTGCATGGTGGCGGGGTTGTTAGCACTGTTGCCTCGCAGCACGAAGGTCGCAGGTTCAAAACTCGGCTGCAGCCTTTCTGCGTGGAGTTGCGTGTTCTCCCCATGCATGCGTGGGTTTCCTCCGGGTACTCCGGTTCCCCCCACAGATCACAACATGCCCTATAGGTTATAAATTGTAAGTCGCTTTGGATAAAAGCGTCTGCCAAATAAATAAACATAAAAAATAATGTGGCAAGCAGTTTGTACATTTATCACACAGACTGTATACGTGTTCTGTAAATGAATGAATCTATTGTTATAACATTCTAATAAAAAGTAGCAATCCAGAAATCTACAATAACATCAGTACCGTCCACATGAACTCTTCAGATATCGGAGATGTAAGTCTAACGGACAAATGATGAAACATTTGATGCAACTCCTATCTACAAATACATTCTTCCTGCAGAAACTAATTTCTTACTTGGAGAAACTTGTATCAGGCTATGTATTCAAGGAATAAAATATATATAACGTAAGTGGGCTTGTCAGTATTAATTCCAACAACTGCAGTTTTTATTTAACCTTAAATATAATTTCTATAGGCATCGAGATATTTTATTTTCAATTACTAATAATAATACAATTTCAACTCGGATACAATATGTTATTGCTACATTTAAAAATAATCAATAAAGTGTACTTAAACATTTTCTTTTGCCCAATGTCCTGTCCGGCTGTGAAGCAAACTCAGTTGATGTCTGAATGCTGCTGACAAGCCAAAAAAAATAAAATAAAAGTGTGATTAACTGTTACACTGGCTTGCCATAAAATATTGATAAACAGTGAAAACAAGACAACGTATGTAGTCAGGGAGCAGAAATGACAAACTGAGAAGGTAGGAGAAAATAAGTTTAGCTGGTTTTTGGAGAAGAATGGAAATGAAGTTAAGGATTTCCAGCTGGTTACCTTTCTGTTTTCTGTTCATCAACACTCATCCTCCTGCTTCTTCTTCTCATGTTCACTGGTAGACAAACTGAGCTGCACGATTGTTTATGGTCATCATTGCATTTTCTATGACTGCCAAGAGTTGTTGTAGCGAACACATTCTCACACCCAAGGCGTCAAAATATGACACGTTTGACCAAGCCTCAATAGATGACGATGCCCGGCGTGTCAGGACACGACAATCAGGGACAAACAGCTGACGCAGCATCTCAGAGCGCCGCTATCCGACGCTGATGCTGAGACGGACATTAGAACTACTTGTGAACTACTTAACCTTCCCCTTACCCCAATCCTAACCTTAAGGTCACAGTATATGGATCTTAAGGTTAGGATTGGGGTGAGGGGAAGTTTAAATAGTTGAATAATGTCCGTGTGACCGCGCGCGTCAAACAGTGATGCCAATGGAGTCACGTGAACCAGAGTGTCTCTAATCGTTGTCTGCTGACGCGCTGGGGTGTCCCGAATCGTCATTCGGCTTGGTCACACGTGTCATACTTGGATGCCTGTGGATATTGTAGCACATCCACCATGACCACGTGTACTACAGAAAACTATGAAGAAGAAGTTTGAGATATTTTTTTAACATTCTGTTTAAAAAATACAGAGGTCCAGATCTCAGTGTCCTCAATGGTATAAGACCATTACTGCATTTCAGGAAAAAACATTCAAGCATGGTGTTGGCAGTGTGATGGTCTGGAGGCAGAGGACCAGCTTTGTTTCTTCAGGATCTGGTTGCTGTTGTGGATTGAACCATGAATTCTGCTCTGAACCACAATAATCCTGAAGGGGAAAGTCTGACCTTTGACCTTAAAACATGACATTCATGCTAAAAAAAAACTTCCAGTGTGGCTGAATTCAAACCATTCTGTAAAGAGGTACAATGTTCCTCCTCTCCAAAGGGTTTGCAACCTGCTATTGGTTTGAGGGTCAATTTTTAACAGAATACCCAATTCCCCGAACATGAAAATAATTACTTTTGGCTAGAGAGGAGAGGAGCGTCAGCTAGTTGCAATTGCCACGTTTTGAGGATGGTTAGGACCCAAAATGCTGATTACCCCAGACGACACGAGGCAGGAGTTGATATAAAGAAAAAATCCTTTTATTTGTAGGATGAACAAAAATAAATCCAAAGGCAGGGAGCCAAAAATCCAAAAATCCTGAATCAGGAGAACAAAAGCTCACCTATAGCACAAACTGGGGACGAGACACAAAGCTCACACAGAGCACCAAAACAACACTGACAACAACAATGGACCGACAAGACACTTCTTCTTCTTCTTCTCCTTTTGGTGTTTTATTGACGGTTGGCAAACAACGAATGGTGCATTACCGCCACCAACTAGTGTGGAGTGTGGTCTGGAACAGCGTTCACAAAACAAAACCAAACAGGGGAAAAAATAAATAAAAAATAAACTTAAAGTCTCCCAAACATCCTTATCTCATTCAAAAACCGATATAAAATCTGAAAACAGTCACTTTTTGAATTCTGTCTCAATAATCAACAAGATCTAGTTTCACTTTCATCTGACTAAGATTTTGAACCACTGTCCTTCTTTCTGCCTGATATTTCTGACATTGTAATATAACATGATCTATAGTTTTGTCTTCTCCACAATAATCACATTTCCCTGTATTATGTTTCCCTATTATGAATTATGTATTGTTTAACCCAGTATGTCCAAACCTTAGTCTAGCAATGATCATCTCCTCTCTCCTACTCCTTCCAGTGTTTCTCATTTCTCCTACTCTTCTTTGAATTTCATACAACCATCTTCCCCTCCTTTCCTCCTCCCATTGTTTTTGCCATTTTTTTGGGATTAATTATGCCCTTAACATAGCAGCTGGGATGAGGATCAGCACCTCCAAATCTGAGACCATGGCTCTCGACCGGAAAAGGGTGGCTTGCCAACTCCGGGTCGGGGCAGAGGTCCTACCTCAAGTGGAGGAGTTTAAGTATCTCGGGGTCTTGTTCACGAGTGAGGGTAGGAGGGATCGGGAGATCAACTGGCGGATTGGTTCAGCGTCTACAGTGATCAATCTGACCCTGGTGGGGATGAGTTACAAGGTAGCCACAGCTGCCCTGGGGCGGACTGACAGAGGCAAGAGCGCAGGTGCCGCCGGTCCCTCTGACCACCACCAGTAATTAGGCAAGGGGGGTTAAGTGTCTTGCCCAAAGACACAATGACAGCGACAAACTGAGCGGGGCTCGAACCTGCAAGCTTCCGATTACGGGGCGAGCATTTTACTCCTGTGCCACCGTCACCACACAAATGTGTTTTATTTGCTTGTTTTGCCAGTATGATAAGCAAATCTGATTTCTAAAGGCTGACACAAGTAAGGTTTCACCTAGAAAGAATGAATATTCGCCTTGTTTTTAGGTGACACTCCCGCTCGTATCTAAAATAGCTGAGAAGTGGGTGGTTAAACTCCTCACTGCTCACCTAGAAAACACCCAACCCTCATTACATCCATTGCAGTTTGGCTTTCGGGCACATCATTCCACAGATGCTGCCCTGTGTATGTTAGTGGAGAACGTGAAGAGCTTGCTGGACAAGAGTTGCTGTGTTGGAGCTGTATTTTTAGATCTGAAGAAGGCTTTCGACTCTGTAAACCATCAGATATTGTTGTCCAGATTGACTCAGTTTAATGTCTCCAGTCAGGCGCTTCAGTGGTTTGCCTCATATCTCTCACACAGGAAACAGTGTGTGG